CCAAACAGAAGTAGGCTTTCTGGGTGTTTAAGAGATACCATCATCACGCAGGGGCGCTATGGAGATGATAGACTGCAGAAGAGAGCTGTGTCTTTTTCCATCAGTGGTTAAATTTAACACCAGTAGAAGATTGGGATTATATTTGCTATGACCTTGTTTGTCCTCACATCCTAGAAACTGAATTTGATTCTTAAACTTGGAAGCAGAAATTATTTTCTCTCAACATATTGTTCCTAGTGAGTTCTTGAAACAAAAGCAGTACTGAATTTTATGTTTTTAGTACTTGAAGTTTACATATTGGTGATTGTTGAAAATGTCTTTTCTGCTATCTGATTATCATAAGAGGACTACATTCTGAGTGAGGAAGGAAATACTTGATAATTTTTTATTGCTAAGGGGTTGATGATAAGCTATGGTCAAGTTTGTATTACTTAGAATTAAGCTTTTTCTCCTTCATCTCAAAAGGTGACTTGGCTAGTAGTCTACAAGTGGTCTACAAGTTGGAGGATAGTTCCCTAAGGTAGAATGATACAAGATAGTTATCCTTCTTTGTTCTTTCTTCCATGTTTCGTCACTTAAGTTATTTTACAGGCTGTCTCATTTCCCATTAACAGTCATCTTCTGCAGTTTCAAGGTCTTTGTTTCCTCTAAATACCTTACATTATTACCACCACCACCCCTTTGTAGGTAAGGTCTCATGTAGTAAAGGCTAGCCTCAAATTCTTTTTTTCTTAAGATTGAGAAGTTATTTTATGTGTATGAGTATTTGCCTTCATGTATGTGTATGTGCACCACTTGTATACTGAGACTGAAAGAGGTTTTAGGATCCCCTGGAACTGGAGTTACACACATGGTATGGGTGCTGGGAACTGAGTCCAGTTCTTCTGCAAGAGCAGCAAAAATATTCTTAACTGCTGAGCTATCTCTCCAGCCCCTGAACTCAAGTTCTTTGTCACTGAGGATGGTTTTGAACTAATGATCTTCTTGTCTCACCACCCCAATGGTGGGGTTGCAGATATATGCCACTTGCCTAGTTTTTATGCAGTGCTGTGGATTAAACACAGGAATTTATGCATGCCAGACTCTACCAATTGACACTGTTCATAGTATGTTCCCAACTGGTCACAGTAGTTCTTGTTTGAATTCTCTGGTATTGATCTCTCTTCACATTGCTGCCATAGTTATCTCTTCAGTCTGTCTGCCAATCCAATACTATACCTATTTTTTTAAGCTTGGATTTGGGTTCCATCACATACCTACCTATCTTTTGGGAGGCAGAGGCAGGTGGATCTCTCTGAGTTGGATGCCAGCCTGGTCTACAGAGCTAGTTCCAGGACAGCCAGGGCTACACAAAGAAACCCTGTCTTGAAAACCAAAACCCACACAGGCCTTGAACTTGAGATCCTCCTGCCATGGCTACCCCAGTCACTGCCACCATTATAGGCCTTTGTCACTAGGCTCAACTCTATTTGTTTAATTGATTACAGCCCTTGTATATATAGTCCAGGGTGGCCTTGATCTTATGATTCTCCTGCTCATATCCTAAGTATTAGGATTATGGGCATGTGCCACAGCCTGGAAGTGCTGCTTGTTTATAAATCTGATGGAAGTGAGGGCATTTACATGTGGTAAATGTGTTAAGTGCCAATTTGTGCTTTATGGACATTGGATTGCAGTTCTTGTATGAATCTAGAATTTTAAGGATGCTATAGATCATCTTGGTTATCTTTTTAAAATATCTCATTTATTTAGAATGTTCATCATCCTACCCTATTCTTTAAGATTTATTTATTTTTATATGCATTGGTGTTTTGACTGCATGTATGTCTGTGAGGGTGTCATATCCCCTGAAGTGGAGTTACAGATAGTTGTGAACTGCCATGTAGGTGCTGGGAATTGAACCCAGGTCCTCTGGAAGAGCAGCCAGTGCTCTTAACCCCTGAGTTGAATAGCTTGGAACTGGAATTAAAGGAATACATAGTGAGATCTCACCCAAAATCCACAAATGGAGGTTGTTATATCTAATTATTGCAGCTGTTCTAAGCTACATCACTGGGTTCTACAACCAATTTGTGTAAGATTTGTCACACAGAATGTCCTTATTTAAAAAAAAATTACTCAGTCAAAAGCCTACCTTTAAACACACCCATACTATACAAATCACTTTGTAACCATTTTTTTCTCATTACAACTGTAGAATAGCACCAATAATATCTGCTTTTACAAATAACACCAGTAATTCCTTTCTCACTACTTATTGAAGGACTATGCTATGTGTAACAGCTATTAAGAAAGCCCTTCAAGGAGCTGTAGAGATGGTTCAGTGGTTAGGGGCATTTGTTGCTCTTGCAGAGAAACCTGGGTTCACCTTCCCAGTACCCACACATTGGCTGAACTATGTATTTCAGACTGGCCTCAACTGTGAACTTCTGCCTTGGCTTCCCAAATTCCATGATTACAGGTCTGTACATCATGCTGCTTGTTATTTAAACTTTCAGCAGTTTACTTTAAAATGCTAATTCACGGCTTCCACAGACCCTGCATAGACGTGCTGCCACCTTTTGTCAAATGTTAAACAGTTTTGCCTCTTCCAAGGGTTCATACCTTTACTACAATACCTGCTAGGGAGAACTTGGAAGCGATCAAATGAGCCTGATTGTGAGACAGGTATACAGCATACACAGTTTAAAGCTAGGTCTGTACCTAAAAATCACCTTCCTTTTTGGTGTTTCCTACTCTCTGTGGAGAGCTTTGGCGAAGTTAATGATTTTTATTCAAGTAGTCTGTTTTTAAAAGGACCTAAGTTTTATCAGGTTAGTGTGGTTGGTTTTTTCTTAGCAAGTACGTTGTAACAGTGTTTATCATAGGCGTTTTTAGAATTGTCTTCTGTATTTACGTAAGTCAAATATTTTTACTTTATGCTTAAATATTTTGAGATTTGTAATGTGGTTTATATACAAGATCTATGTTTTAAAAAATAGCCTTTTAGAACTGGGGTGGACCTCATCTCTTGCATGTTGTGTGTAGGAAGAGGGAAGGGGGAGACAGGGACACAGTGAAGCACCCATCCCTAGGCATCTCACGGTGGATCACTGGCCTGGATCGTAGATCACCTGCCTCTCTGCCTTAGTGCTGGGATTAAAGAATCGTTGTACCATGCATGCTCCAGCTATCCCCTCATTTTTGAAGCCCCACTCTCTTTCAAAGCAAAAGGTTGGACTTATTCTAAAGAAGAGGTTTGTTTCACCTATTTAATTCCTGACTGTTAGAGTTTTAGTAAAGGAGAAATAGTTAATGTACAGCATGGAACATTCCAGTATGAAAGGATGGGCTTGGGAGATTTGCTGTAGTAGAATGGCCTCATGAAACTAAGGTACTAAGGTCCGTGGAAGATGAGTGCCAAAGGTACACTGCAATTCAGTTTCTACTGTATTTCACATTCTTCATTCTGTAGCCTATTTATACCATAGGTTTACAGGTGGTCCATACTGTTCCATAGTCTGTGAAGCACTGACGTGTACTAGAATACTGATACTTTGTTGGGGTTTTTATTTTTTTTATATTTATGTATTGCTAGACTGTTAACAATTGGAAAGAGTGCAGAAATAATGCAAGCCATATTGAAAGTGGTGGGGATAGAGCTCTGCCTGGAGCGTTTGCCTACCTATTAACTGAATGAAGCCACAGGTTTTTTTTATTTTCGAAACAGGGTTTCTCTGAGTAGCTTTAGAGCCTGACCTGGAAATCACTCTATAGACTAGGCTGGCCTCTCCCTCCGGAGTGCTGGGATTAAGGAGTGCTGGGATTAAAGTCGTATGCCACCACTGCCTGGCCACAGTTACTAATTAAATTAAACTAATGTTAAGAATATCACTATCATTTAAGGCCTCACGGAGAGTGAGTTGCCAAAGGACACACATTCTGCTCTGCACCCAGAAGATGGTGCTATATCCCTTGGAACTAGAGTTAACAGATGGTTGTGAGCCCACTTGTGTATGCTGGGGATTGAACCCAAGTCCTCTGCAAGAGCAGCTAATGCTCTTAACCACGGAGCCATCTCTCCAGCTCTATATCATACAATGTTTTGTTTTTCTTGCAGGGCTGGGGACTGAACCCAGAGCTCCCAGCCCCCCAACTTTCCACCTCCCCTTAGGCTGGCCTCAAACACACTGTATAGTCAGATGGCCTTGAACTCCTGATCCTCCTGCCTCAGCTTCACCCATTTGAGCTATAAGGTCTAGCTTAATTGCTTTATAAGAATCCTGCTAAGTAGAACTATAATGAATACCTGTATGCTCATGAGATGTAAAATTTATATACATTAAAGCCTCTTGAATTCAGGAATTTTTAAACACCTTATAGATGAGATATAATATTTGTGACCTTAAAGAGAAAGCGTTTTGAAAGTTGACTAGAAGAATTATAACTGGATATGCTAATAGTAGAAGCAGTTTTTCTCCTGTCCGTCTTAACATTACCACTAGTTTAGATTTAATTAACTTCATTGACCTAAACTGTTTTTTTTCAATGTTTGCTTAGACTTAAAATTTACCTTCTCTAAGAGTGTTAGGTAAGGTGATATGCCTGCTGTGTTATGACTAGGGTTTTTTTAAGTTTAGTGAGAAGAGGAGGGCTTCTGCTTTCCTATCAGATACAGCAGACTAATTTGGTTCACATAAATGAAAGTTTCTTAAAATAACTGTTCTTTTCATTTTAAATTTTCTTAATTCATATCCATAGCTTATATTTGAGAAGAGGGACCAATGAAATCCTGCTTGATCCTCAGTAAGATGTGTGCATTTAATGAGTTGCACCACACTCTTTTTATTCCTTTCAGTGTTTATAGTATGGTGAACATTTCTGTCTCAAAATGGATAATTCATGAATTGATATACTTGAGTATTTTTTTAACTATTTTGACAGTTACATTTGTTTTCTTTGGATTGGGGGCTTTACAATGAAAATAAAGTTTAATGTTAATGTTTTCCCTCCAATTACAGGGGTCAGAAATACCGTCAGAGGAGGGGTACTGTGACTTTAATAGTAGGCCAAATGAGAACTCTTATTGCTATCAACTTCTTCGACAACTAGATGAACAGAGAAAGAAAGATATTCTTTGTGATGTCAGCATTGTGGTGAGCGGGAAAATCTTTAAAGCTCATAAGAACATCCTGGTTGCAGGCAGCCGTTTCTTTAAGACTTTATATTGTGTTTCAAACAAAGAAAGCCCTAACCAAAACAATACTACCCACTTAGATATTGCTGCAGTTCAAGGTTTTTCAGTCATCTTGGACTTCCTGTATTCTGGGAACCTGGTGCTCACAAGCCAAAATGCCATTGAAGTGATGACAGTGGCCAGCTACCTTCAAATGAGTGAAGTTGTTCAAACTTGCCGGAATTTCATTAAAGATGCCTTAAATATAAGCATTAAGTCAGAAGCTCCAGAGTCTGTGGTTGTGGACTATAATAATAGAAAACCAGTTAATAGAGATGGCCTGACTTCATCACGGGAACAAAAAATTGCCAGCTTCTGGGCGACACGGAATCTTACCAATTTGGCAAGTAATATAAAAATTGAAAATGATGGTTGTAATGTCGACGAGGGCCAAACAGAAACCTACCAGATGAATGACAGTAACTGGGTCCAGGATGCTTCTCCTGACCTGGCTGAAAATGAATCTCAAACTCAAACGAAAGTGTTTATTTGGAATCATATGGGCTCGCAAGAGACTGGCAAAGCAAGGAGGAAAACCCAAACTACAAAGAGATTTGTTTATAACATACCACCTAATAATGAAACAAATTTAGAAGATTGCTCAGTGATGCAGCCTCCTGTTGCCTATCCAGAAGAAAACAAGGCCCTACTCATCAAGGAAGAACCAGGTAACTATCATGTGTGCAAAGGTATCTGTTTCCATTCTAATTGTAGTGCAAAAGTAATTTTGAAATTTATTTTTAGTTATGAAAAGTAATGGAACAGGGGTACTCAAATTTTGGTGGTGGTGGTATGTGTGTATGTATGTGTCTAAGTTTTAGATTGGGTAGCAACTAAAGTACTGTCTGTCAAAAGCCTTATGAATACCTAAGCATTACATATACAGATTCTTTTTGTCTTAGGATAAGGTTAAATCTCTTGAAACGCATAAGATGAAGCTGTCTTTAAGTCAGAAATGCATTTAAAAAAAAGCTAGAACATCAGTTTGGCAAATCATCCAACAAGAGCTCTATCTTATAAGTGATAAATGTCTAATAATTTATTAGACAATAACTGAAAGTAAAATGAAGAGTTGTAGAGCTTGCTTTTGTTTCATAACACTTTGGAAATTGTAAAATTGCACTCTTGAGTTGGACCCTTCAGTGTTATCAAGGAGCATGACTCCTGCTGGCGGCCTCTGCACTGTTTTCCAATGACTAGAGGGAGTGTTTGGTTGTGGTGGGTAGTTTGTCGTTTTGAAATATTTGTAGGATCTAGTTAACATTCTTTTTATTTTAGCATATTTATTGCTATAGAAGTTTGCCATTTCAGAGATTACTCTTAGTTTGTTTAGAGCTTCGCTGCTTAGCACAGGTATTCAGAAGCAGGACTGTTTTTCTTGTCACCTGAGTCTCATTATCCTTTGTATAGCTGAGGAGGTGGGTGGGGTTGTTTGTTTTTGGAGAATTGCAGTTTTTCTTTCCAAACGTAGGCCAAAGAGACCTTTGCTTTCAGTATATTCCCAAGAGAGTATATGCAAAAATCTTAGCATGTCTTATCGGTGGTAAAGACCTTTTTAAAAAATGGAGAAGACTGCTAAAGAATAGAAATAGAGTGGACATTTTCCTTTACCTTAGTTTAAACTGGTTGTTCCTAACTTTGAAGCATCTGGGGTGGTGGGAAGGAGTGGTTGAGATTTTCTATCCGTATTTTAGGTTTGTGCACTATTAATTGTATGATTTTTTTAAAGATGCCTGTTCACCTCAAAACATGCTTCATCTGGGCAGGGTTGCGTGCACTCCAGCATTTTGGAGGCAGAGGCAGGCAGGTCCCTGAGTTCAAGGTCAGCCTGGTCTTTAGAGCATATTCCGTTATAGACTGTCTCAAAAACAAACAAACACACACCATGCCTGTTTAGTGTCTGATTTATATGATAATGAGGATGAAGTATTTTCTGTTAAATATTTTTATTCTGTGTGTGTAAGTAAAAGCCACCCGCACACACATGGGAAAGTCAAAGGACTGCTTTGTTGAGTTCTCACTTTTCAGAAGGTTCCAGGAATCAAACTTGGGTTGCAAGGCCTGCAAGTCAGGCACCTTTCCCCACTGAGCCATCCTGCAAGTCACAGAATTGTTCTCCTTTCTAGAAGGCAAGCCTGTGAAATGGTTTTTGGCCTTTTGGATATGAGTTAGTTTTCACTAGTGGAAATGAGCATGCATGTTGGATGTCCTTCTTGTGGTTCGTTTTTGTTTGTTTGTTTGTTTTTGAGACAGGGTCTCCCTATTAGCTCTGGCTGTTCTGGAACTCATATGTAGACCAGGCTGGCCTCAAACTCATAGAGATGCATGCCTCTGTCCCCCAAGTGCTGGGATTAAAGGTGTGTGTCACCATGCACTACTGCTGTTCTTTTTCCTTGTATTTTATATCAGTTTTTATCAGCAAATCCCTGATGAGACCTTTGTTTTGTTGTTGAGACAGTCTTAAGTAGCACAGGTTGGCCTCTAATTGACTATGTAGCTGAGGATCAGCCTTATATCCATCCTCTTGGTTCCACCTCCCAAGTCTTGAGATTATAGGGGTATGCCAAAACTCCTGACTGAGGCGGTTTTTATCTAATAATAGATACCTCAGATAGATGATAGATGTTTTTTGTTTGAGTTTTGTTTTGTTTTTGGTTTTTGGTTTTTCGAGACAGGGTTTCTCTGTGGGACTCTCCTGGCTGTCCTGAAACTTGATTTATAGACCAGGCTGGCCTCAAACTACTAGATCCACCTGCCTCTGCCTCCCAAGTGCTGGGATTAAAAGGGTGTGCCACCACTGCCCGGCTTCAGCTGGCACTTTGTATATTGACTTACTAATGTAGAGGTCCTGGCCAAAAATGGTAATGTAGTATTCCAATATGGTAGTAACTCTAGAGTGTTTACACCCACATACACACACACACACACACACACACACACACACACACACACACACACACACACACACTCTCTGACCACTTGGAAATGTGCATATACTAACCCTTTGGAAAATAAGCAGGTGTTTTGGGTGATGGCAGAACACACACACACACACACACACACACACACACACACACACACACACACACACACACACACTCTGACCACTTGGAAATGTGCATATACTAACCCTTTGGAAAATAAGCAGGTGTTTTGGGTGATGGCAGAACTCATCAGAGCGAACCCTGTTCTTAAAGTTGGCACCTAAGACTGGAGTGACCTAAAAACCAGCAACAAACAAACAAACACAATAGTGTTGACCCATGATGAATACTTTGAAAAGTCTTAACACGGGTAGCAATTATTTTAGCATCTTCTCACCATTCATATCAATTGCGTAGTTCTACCAAAAATTGTTGTCAGTTTAATGTGTTTAATCTCATCCTAAAAATGATTCTTTCTTGCTTTTACATCATTTATAGCACTTTGGTATCTGAACTTGCTTCAGTCACAAATTTGGTTTCATTGTGAGAAGCTGCATATCAGCTGGTGAAACTGGTAATTTCACAGTGCCTCTGCAACATCATTCAGTGGCAGAACAGTGGGTCTTCTCTCACCTAACTAGTATGTAAGTACAGGGAAGTAACCAGTCAGGTCAGTGTTTACAGAGTTCATTGACAGCTCATACTCTGGCCTTGCTGTTGGGCAGCCCTGTTAAAGCATACGCCTGAGAATTAGAGGTGACTGCATTGTCTACATTTTGTGATTGCTCACAAAACAGTTCCAGTAGGCATTGCTTTTATATCAAAGCTGCCTAGAACAGAAAGTAAGAATGGAAGATTGTAGGGGCCACTCATTTTCTGTGGTATTCATCTAATAAAAATAAATGTTCAATATCTGAAGCTGACTTTTTTTAAAAAAAATCCCTTAAAAATGTAGCTAATAGCAGCACTGAACTGTAGTCTTGTTTTTGTTAATGAGCAAATTATAGTAGCTTCTAAAAATGCTTCATAATTGTTATTTATACAATGTTATCCAATGTGCTTCTTTTTTTCCCACTTTGCCCCAGAGTAATCCAAACTGCCACTCCCAATATATTTTTAAAAAGAAGCAGGAATAGATTAATTGTGACTTTTTGATTTTTGTTTTTTAGACAGAGTTTCTCTTTGTGGTGGCTGGCTTTGAACTCAGAGCACTTGCCTCTGTTCCTCCAATGCTGGGACTAAAGGCATGAGACACTTTTCTTACACCTTTAAGAGTACAGTCATACTAATCTTTGGTAGTTCCTATGCCTTTTATGTAATAAAAATCAAAATAAAGTCTCAAAAAGGGGGGGTGGAGTTCAGAGCACTGTCCGTGTTTCCACGAGTCCTGAGTTCAGTTCTCGGCGCCCACTTAGTGGCTCACGACAGGCTGTGACTCCAGTCCTCGGACCTGACTCCTTCTGATGGCACAGGCACCCAAATGAGAAGTGGTGCACATGTGTGCAGGGAAAAATAACAAAATAGGTTTCTAAACAGGAAGGAAACTAGACCTTAATAAGAACTTTATGATCAGGAAATAATAGTATGAGAGGAAGCATGAAGCTGACCTTTTTTTGAGACGGTGTCTTACTATGGAGCTTTAAAGGGCTGACCTGGACAAACTCCCTATGTAGACCAGGCTGACCTCAAACTCACAGAGATCTTTTGTTTTGCTTTCCCAGTGCTGGAGTTAAAGGTGTGCATTACCATGCCTGGCTGGATTTTTAATGTAAAGAACTGTAAACATGATGCAGCATTGACCAAAAAGCTGTACTTGGTGGTTTGTAAAATTGAAAGGCCATAGACCACATATATGTGAGCAGAAGGAACTGTTTGCAGTGAAGATTTGTGTTAGTCCTTGTCAAAGAGTGACTCTTACTCTTAGCTCCAGATTAGAAACCTCGATCAGAATAGCGGGAACCTTTTAGGGGTTCCAGTGAAGTTCCAGGTAATCTACTTAGAGTTGGATCAAGTGATGGAGTAAGAGCCCAGATTCAGTTAGACATTGAAAACCAACTCCCCACTTTATGACTATGATTGACTAAGTTAAGGCTGTGAGTGTCTTTATTCTTTAAAATACATTACTGTTTTACAGGGGCATATGAAAATAAATGACAAGCATAAAAGCACGCTATCTACTGTGGTCATGTCTAGTGCCCTTAATGTTTGGAAAGACCTTTGAAGTTATTTATAACAGTTTGCCAGTGCTGTGTACTTTCTGCCAAATGCTAGATAATTGGTCTTACATAGCTTGGCTTGTTTGAATACTGACAGACATGACCTTCTTAAGCAGCCTGTGTATATGATAAGTGTTATTAGAAGTTGCCTTATATTGAGCCAAAATTAACTTCTGTAATGCTCCCATTCTGCCATTTTTTTCTGTAATTTGAACATAGTTTTAATTCTTTTAATTGGATTAGAAATTGAAATAATACCTCTGAGTCCATGTTTTTCTAGTGTAAGTGCCAGTTCTTCTACTCTGTTGAACATAGAGAACTGAACTTTTCAGGAAACTTTTTTTTTTTTTTGGTTTTTCGAGACAGGGTTTCTGTGTAACTGCGCCTTTCCTGGAACTCACTTGGTAGTCCAGGCTGGCCTCGAACTCACAGAGATCCGCCTGGCTCTGCCTCCCGAGTGCTGGGATTAAAGGCGTGCGCCACCACTGCCTGGCTAGGAAACTTCTTACCATTGTAACAAATACATGT